CTTGCGCGCAGGGTGCCTACTATAAACAAGTGAGTGCTCATAAGTCAACTGAGAACAAGCTATGCTTCAACAGCCCTGAATGCAAGCACAATCCTTCTGGGCTGCATTCACCAGTACTGTAGACAAGTATTGAAGACTTCTGCTTGCGTCTAGGCAGTGCACCTAGGCGACAGCTTTCTATTAACAACAAGTAAGTGCTCATGCGCCAACTTCGGGAACAATATGCTACACCATGCTACAAGTCAGGCTACGCAGCCCATCGGGCAACTGGCGTGTTGTTAGTCTTTTGCCGTGCAAAAGCACATACGTTTGCATCCGCTGCTTTGTGAGTACAACCCTTAATTTTCGGGAAACAAAACCTTCGCGTTTCCCTGTCACTGCGTCGCTGTCGCTGTCGTTGTCGTGTGTGCCGGGCTCAGCTACTCCAATTCTCCTTTGTGGTGGTTTCGCCTCCTCAAGTGCCGAAGGATCCGCAACGTGCCACTAGTTCCACATTATCTTATGTGGAGATGAAATAAATGGTTGCAAAACCTATAGTTTTCTTTTGGTGGACAGATGTGCAAAACGCTCAAGCACCTCAGCTGGGCAATGTGTCGTGGAACAGTGTGGCAGAGCTAGCTGGGGATTGTCAAGGGGGATGTAGTGTTGGAGAGTTTTGGGGTTACAGAGAACACAGTAAAAGTAATTCTCATGTGATCATTGAAAGGATGCCGCCAACATTCAGGTTAGAGTGCCTACTGTTCATTAAGTTTGCGCACAACGGCAAGAGCGGAACGGGCAACTTCCAGCCTTAGGTGCCGACAATCCCTTGAATAAAAACAATTTGAAGTAATGTTTAGTACCTAAGGTTTATACTTTGGATGGCCTGGGACCCAGAGGCATTTGCTTGCCCTCAGCCCATTTCTGTGGTTTGTTGCGCCGTTCTATCGCCGTTACCTCGGTGACGTCTGGAGTTCTAGATGAAGAGAACATAGCTCTAGGTGTCTCAACATCCTAATTGCAGTCTAAAAGAGTCATCACGTGACTCAAAGTGTGGAAGTGCCTGATATTCCAATGCGTTTCTGGACTTGCAACCGCCTCCTCTGAACCACCAGAAATAAACACCGGCGCAGCACGTACCACTACCGACCTGGATGTGCAAAGTGATACCAGTAGCGGATTAAGTTTAGATTCCTGGGAGACAGAATTCTCCATTATGTGGCACACTAGACTGCCATAAGCCAAACAAGATAACAACTGTCTCAGTACCTGTTGGGTGCGTGCGCTTCGCTAAGCACATATTGCACACAACCAGCTAACGCCAAGATAGGTGGAATATTTCTGGCTGCGACTGCAACAGCCGCTAGCCCATATACCACAGAGCGTTCTGTAACAGTTTGTCGTAAAGTGGTATCACCTGCCGTAACACACAGGAAAAGAATACCGGGTAGACTAGAGAAGGAATAATGCGATCATTTCCAAATCATCGTATTCTATGCCCTTCTTAAGCAGCGCGCGCATATGTTCTCTTCTATTGTGCAACCGGTGTTGGAAGTTGTACCAATTTTCCTTCTCTTGTTGTTTCGTAGCCTCTAGTACACTTTCGTTTGTCCACTTACCCGCGATCTGGTGAATCTTGCGTATCCTCCGATAGTTCGTATTGCCTTCATATTCACGAAATATCTGGGCAGCTGCTTGTGCGAGAGCTCCAGTTCTAAATGGTTTTCCATTGTATGGAATTTGGTGTTTGGCAGTGGAGGGAGTGGCTGTGAAGGCGTCATCTTCTCCAGAGGGTTGAAGAAAATGCTCAAAGTAGTATCGGGCCTCCAAGTTGCAGACATTACGTTTTTCCGCTTCTAGCAACAGGTCTAAGAGTTGTTCGGCTGATTTTATATCAACTGACTGTCTCCGTTCACTGCCAACCATCCCGGCGAAACCCAAAAACTCATCCGTCTTCATCGACACAGAACGGCTGAAGATGTGTTCAGTGTCAGAATTACTATCATGTTCGTCGTGGACAGGAGAACTGCGTGCAACTTCGAGGCCATCTCCTTGGGCAACTTTTCCACCTACGAACTGTCTCCGTCCACTGCCAACTATCCCAACGCCATCCAAGAAGTCATCCGCCTTCATTGACGAAGAAATGCCGAAGCTGCCTTTAAGAAGAGAATTACTACCAGGTTCTTCGTGGACAGGAAAACTGAGTGGAACTTTGACGTCATTTGTTTCGACAATTTCTCCTTCTACTGACTGTCTCCGTTCACTCTCAACCATCCCCATGTTAGCCAAGAAATCATCCGCCTTCATTGAAGGAGAAATGCCAAAGAATTCTCCTACTCCAGAATCCCTATCATGCCCTTCCAGCTCATTTTCCAAAGAGACGGAGCTCTTCAACTCCTTCAGACGAAGCGTGACCATGCGACAAGTGGTGAGCAACAGCTGCACGTGTTGCAAGAAATCACTCTGCACTTTCGCAGAAGAATCAAGCGGGAATTTACATTCTAGCATCTGATCCACGTGGTCATTGATGGTCGCCAACGGATCTTTAGTAAGCGCTTGACTGTCGCTGAGCGACGGCGTGAATTGCCTCTGAAAAGCTTTCCGCACAAATTTCGGGGACGCATCCCATTCCTTATTCATCTCTTCCTCTGCATCGTTGAGATCGTCCATGTAAATCCGCATAATGTGACCGTACACATAGAGCGAAGCCCATTCAATATGGGAGCTTAACCGGGAGGACCTCAATTTGATCGGGTTCCACCTGCTAGACACCCGGAAAAGAACAGCAGACAGGAGTAGCAGTGAAAAGACGACAAGCAATGGCTTAGTGACCCCAACCTGCTTCCCAATAAACTTCCGCAAAACGAAAACCCCTTCTTCTGGAGCAGTTTGGTTGGTGTTTTCTATGTTTTGTTCACCGGAGAGATGGATTGCGTCACCTGCCCCTTGCTCAGGGCTCAACCAATCTAACCAGGTACGAACTGCTCCCTTCCCCTGGACCGCCATTATCTACTGCGAAAATAAACGCATGGCGGATAATCATATATTAGCTTTGTGTTTGGCAGCTGAGCAAAATTCTTGAGAAAAAGACTAGGAGGATATCCAGAGAAACAGAGCGATACGGATCTGGCTGTGGTCGGGGAGGTGACGATGATGTTCAAGAAAATTCCCGCTTTGAAATTAATTTAAATAACGGATACTAAATTATAAACTGCGTCCGTGTGTAAGCACTGTAATGCATGCAACCACTGTTCATGGGAGGATACCGCTCCTCTGCGGGATTTGGGTGTAATTGAAGCTGCGGTGCGTGTATCGACAGCTCTGACTTACCATCGGTCCTTCAATGGTGGAACATACGTGCCAACTAAATTATTAACAAGCTGTTCATTGAATTTTAGTGGAACTAGTGGAGTTTACTTGCTGCCTGAATTGTTTAGCTATTTGTTGTGGTGTAGCGTACAGCTTTGGTGTACAGATGGGATTTTACTTTCGGTTCACCGGCTGTGCTCTGTGGCTACGAAAGAAAAGTCCCGCACCCATTGACGCCTATCCTGTGAAACTTTAAACTGAGAGTAATAAATTATGGGCTGAGAACCCATGGACTCCCTATTAGACAAAAGGTACACAAGTATGCATGTAAAAGTTCTCAACACCTCTACACACTGTTTGTGCATCGAGCCAAGAAGGCTTGTTTGCGTTTACATCGGGGGTATCCTTCACCTTGAGTTCTAGCAAGGCGCGTTGCAACTCGTGGCAGGCCATTTCCGCTTCCACAACTCAAGGAGATAGAGCCACAGCGCTTGGGACACTGGGAGAGGAGGGAGGGAGTTCGGCTGCACTTGAGGAGACTTTAACATAGGTATTTTGTGTTCATATCTCAATGGAGGTGGTTCGAATGAATGTGTAGTACCTAAGGCTTATATTTTGGTGGGTTTGAGAGCCAGAGGCATTTGCAGGCCCTCTGCCTTTTCCCGTGATTCTGTTGGCTCACACTTTACCCTAAGTAAAGTTCCTGCTGGTCTCCTCACTTTGGAGCTGCAGAGGAAGAGTCCACTTGCAGCGGGTTCCTGTTCCTCCTAAGTGTAGCACAACATAGACATTAAGTGGCCCAAAAAGCGGAATCGTCCGATATTTCAATGCGTTTCTGGACTTGCAACCGCCTCCACTGAACCACCT